GGGGATCAAACTTGGGTCCTTGCGCTTGCGCAGCAGGCGGTGAAACCACTGAGCTAAATCCCTGGCCCAGCATGTTTTATATTCATCAGTAAGATGATTTAACGAAGTCATGAACTAATGGGTCAATTAGATGTTTTCTCTCCACTTGCTAAATTAATAAATAAATAGGAGACCTGTATTTTTCTAACGTGTCTCTTCCCCTTATTTCTTGTGTCTTTATTTTGATAAATTGAGATGAGAAGCGGTTTGACCACACTGGCATTTTAATTGTAAACTGCTGGGCTTTGGCCCAGACTCTTACTACCTGCAGAAGTTGTTGTGATTAACTCTGGAGTTGCCTTATGTTGTACACAGGCAAAACTACATTTTAATCAGGCAGTCCATATGCTTGGGACAGATAGTTTGTAATAGGGCCTGTTAAAAATAGATTCCTCTAATTAGCAGTGTTGGATAGAAGCCTAAAGTCTTAAGTCTGATATACTGATTCCTTCTTCCTAAAACAAATAAACAGAATGAATTGATGTGGCAGTAGCCTGTTAGAAATCATTTCATCAAAGGTCATGAAATTAAATTTCAGCTCTGAGAGTTATTGCAGAAGACTGTTTAACATTACAACAATTTGACTTCAACCCATGATCTTTGGATTTACATAAAGTGCTTCTACTTTCTAGCTTTTCCAGTTGAAAGACTTTGAAGTTCTGAGGCAAAACTGAAATAAATTGGATAGTTATGTAATTTCAGAGTGAATGCTTGCAGCATAATGTTACGGTCAAAAGTACATGGAAGGGGAAGCTCACAAGAAATTACTACAATGAACTTAATACTTTGAAACTTTATAGTAAAACAAGAATGTAAAAAATTTTTAATGATCTAGGAACATATAGCACATATTTCTTTTTTTTATTCATTAAGTTTATCGTACATTTTAGGTATACAATATGTTTACATTTATCATTGGGTGCTTGTACCTGTACATGATCTCTCTTGGTTCTTATTTTTTCCCCTTCCCCTGCCCTCCCTTCACCCCCTCCACCCCACCCTATTTACACAGACTTTGTTTCTGTTTTTTCCTTTTCTCATATTAATTCCATTCCCTTCTTTCCTTTCCCCTACCCCTCCCACTTCCCCTTCCCCTTCGGACCTTTGCTTCCTATTTCACGTTATCTATTTGACATTTTGATCCTCAATTACACTTGCAGTTTCTCACACCAGAGAAACTATTCGGTATTTACACGTGTGTGCCCTGTTTATTTCACTTAAGAGTGTGGCCTCAGTGTGCATCCATTAGCTATAACTGTCTCTAGTTTCTCGTTGAACACAATTAAGATGCCTGACCGTTGTGTTGCTAAAGCACTCGATCCTAAACTCAGACCCAGGTCTTTGGCCCCGGAGCCCTGTTCTTTTTGCTCCGCCATACCGCCGTGGAAGATTTCATCTAAGGCTGTCAACTTGTCATGCTGTGGAACGTTGGTGACTGAACAGCTGAGATATTTCTGAGTCTTTTGTGCTGTTAATGATGTTAATGCATTTCCTTTTCCTCTCTAAGCTGTGATACAGGTTCCCACAAAGGATGGGAAGGAGGAGATGTTTTGTGGGTGCATCTGCTCCCGGGATGTTCCCAGCCTGAGTCATTTAGTTTATGTTCACGGTTTTTATATGTGGTCTTGATTGCACTGCTGCTTTGTTTCTTGTGCTTTTTGCCATGGTAGACCCTTCCTTCATGCACCTATTTACTTACCCAGTGCCACAGACCCCCTGCAGGTGTGCTGCTGGGGCCCGCTGAGGGGGTGAGCAGAGCAGCATCTCTGCGCTGTCGTAATCAGGTGACCAGTGCTGGGACTCCAGCAGCAGTGCTGCTTCCTTGTGCCTGGCTCTGTGGTGGGCTGGGGCATGTGAACCAGCTGGTGACCTAGAGAGAGACCTGGGCGTCTTCTGTCAGAGGTCAGGACAAATGCTAACCTTCAGCAGTAGAGTTTATTAAGCTCTGGAGAAGCTGAGCTAGTTTGGAATTTAATTTCTCATGTATATAGCATCACATTAGGTATAGTAGCGAAGAGTCCATGTAAGCATCTATACAAGTCTTATTATTTGCATTGGTCTTGGGTTTCAAAGTTGAATTCAATTGCATTTAACAAGAAAATACCTTGTTTTTGCTAGGATGTCTAGCAAACCATTCCTAGGTCTCATTGTATCCATGATCTGATACTTGGATTTCCAACTCTGAATTTCCTAGCTATAGGGAAGCATGAATGTCTTAGCATGGATCCAGGGTTAGAAGCAGGTTTAGTACAAAAAGCTCCCTAGGTTTTGTGTACCGTTAACTGTTCCAATATCGGTTTCTCTTCCCAAGGACACTTCTGCTTAAGCATTTTTCCATTGGTTTGGAATTGTAAAATAAATGCGTGTTGTTCCAGACTCTACATTTATGAGTTTCCACCTCAGTCCTGCAAGCAGGCGCGAGAAGGGCACCTTGACCACAGCTGGCATGGAGTGAGGCCACTCAGTTCTCCTCCAGGGCATGGCCTCCTTGTTCAGTGCACAGTTTGCCAATCTGCCATTTCTTCTGTGGCTGAACTTCTAAATGGGCCTGCTTTCCTGCTGATTTTGTGGTTTGTTTTGAGCTGCTGATTTTGACTCAGACAGCACAGGAAGGGTAACAAAAGCCCTTAATTTTGCAGTGTGAAATGTTTTAGGCACTTGCTCCCCAAGTTTCTTTCTGAGTGACTTGAGACTTTTGCAGCAGCTCTGATACCCAACTTAGGAAGCCTGCACTCTCAGCAGCTTCACTACTTTAAATAACATCCCTGCAGAGGCTGTCTCTGGAGCAGGGAGGCAGCTGCTCCATGGGAGGGGCTGTGCGGGCCCCAGAGAGGCTCCCTGCTGCAGAGTCATCAAGGACTGGCCCTGAACTGTCGGGCTTTGGGGACAGGTGTCCACACGCATTCATGTCCACGTCCACATACTTCTCATACACGTCCATGTCCGTGTACTCATCTATGTACACAGGCATGACAGATGAACGGGGCATGGTGTGAGTGTATGCAGCTACGACCAGCACCATAGATTGTATGGGATTCTACCACCTGTCTTCACGGGAGTGAGCACACTATATTCACAACAGCTTTTCTTGGCTAAAGCAGGCAGATATTATAAAAATCCCAAAGAGCAAGGCCTGAATTGTTCAAATCCTTGCCTAACGTCACCTGGCCTGCAGGTGTAGAGCTGAAATGCACCTTTGCTCCTAAGTCCAGGGCGTGGCCTGTGGGTCCCAATCCTGGGTTGGATTCCAGCCCCTCCCTCTCTCCAGTGCCCCCTTGCTCCCTCCTCTTTCCTCTGAAAATGTAAAGCACGTTCAACACAGATCCTTTCCGTGCCCATTAAGAGATTATTTTTGTCTCTTTGTAATGTTTCATTTATTCTCCAAGGGCATTTCATGTCATGCACGGCTACATATCCCACTGTGCTATATTTATAATTCTTTAACACATTTAATTAAGAATATTGCTTAAACCATAGAAAGACTTCCCCTTCCATGAAATTTGGAAATTGAAGGTAGCATTTAGCAGTTTCCTTGTCACCCACAGTAGCTGTTCTTAGACTCTTAAGAGTCACTCAGTTACCCACACACTTCTGCCTTCTAAGAATGTGAGTGAGGCCCGGCTGTCCACGAGGCCTGGATGTCGCCAACAGAGCTGGAGCTGGAAACGCTTCAGGCTGTGCTGGGGACGGGGAAGAAGGAGGAGGAAGGTGCCGAGGGCCCCTTCTGCCTCCTGTGCTCCGCTCCTTCCCCTGTGGCTGTGGAAAGGGCTGTCGGGCACCGGACATCTCGAGGCCACGTGGTCTCTGTCAGTGCCAGCCTCTCGAGCCGTCACCAGTGTGCTGTGTTGGTTTGTGTGTCCCTGTTCCCGGACTCCCTCTGCGAGAACCAAAGCTCCACAGTACCGGATGCTGGCCTGTGTCATTCCCCATGCAGCCTTGGGGTCCCCAACACTATGTGGCCCGGCGCAGCCGCCAGGGGGACCCAGACTGGGCTGCACTCCGCTCCCGGCCTCCGAGGCTGCCAGGCCGAGAGCGGCCTTCTGTTCGGCTTTGCAGTGGTTTCCTGGGGCACTGGCGCCCCGTAACCGTTAGTACACAGTCCTTGCTGTGTGTGAGCAAGCTTAGAAGTCATCCGTGCTTATACAGAAATGTTTCCTGAGATGTAACATATACCCAGGAAAATGCAGAAGTCACAGGGCAGCACGTTCAGGAAGCAAAACATCCTGGCACCCGATACCCAGATCAGAAAGCAGAAAACCGATGGTGATGAGCCTCAGGGGCCGACAGGAGGATGCCCTGCAGATGACACTGACAGCACCGCACCTCTGCACAGCACAGTCCTTTCATCATCCTTCTCTGAGCTGCAGTTGTTTATATTTCACTCATATCTAGCTGTATTCTTGAAAATACTCCTTGTAGAGCTGAATTCAAAAGTTAAGGGTGCTATCATTGTCTGATAGGACCTTTTAGATTACTAGAGAAATAAAAGTCCTTTATCACCTTACATTTTGATACATTTGCTGAATTTTATATCAAAGGCTTTATTCATTTTTCTATTGAAGTATTTTTGCCTCATTAATATATAAGGTACACTGTGATGCTGGAATCACTAGATCGTTATTTTAACGAGATCTTTCTAAATGATTAGGCAGAACAGCATTTTTCCAACTGGCTTCCAAAAAATACTTTTCTTTGAATAGTCTCACCATGCAGCCCAGGCTGGCCCTGAACTCATGGTGATCCCCCTGCTGGGGGGGATCCCAAGTGCTGGGGTTACCGAAGTATACCACCCTGCCTGGCTCCAAAAAATGTGTGGCACATTTCTCTTAAAATCCTGTAGAGAAGATGTATGATGTCGGAGTAGCCTTTTTCAAGGCCAGTGGAGCTGTTGCTGGAAAGGTTACAGCAAGACAGACATGGGATGAACTGTCTGAGTCACAGCCCCGTGCTCTTCTGTGCAGGCTGAAGAAAAAGTCGCAGTCGGTGGACATGACCGCTCCAGGGTTCAGGCCCTTGGCAGGGGCGGGGAAGCCAGCGCCCCAGGTCGGGAAGGCTGCAGCGCCCAAGACTCCCACCATCGAGGAGGAGCAGCAGAACACGGCCAATGCCCAGCACCAGCCACCGCGCCGGAGCGGGCTGCAGAGGTTCTACACCATCGGTGAGTGTGCGGCACACTCGTGTGCCCTCCGGGCATCGCAGGGCCGAATGGGAATGGGGAGGCTCTGGGGAAGCAGCGCCCCTCTGGCTTGGTCTGCTCTGTCTGCAGTGCTGACCTGAGGCTGATGGAGCCGAGTGTGGAGTCTGCACTGCGGGTCGGGACCTGCTGGCCTCTGCGTCCCTGGCCTGGGCTGCAGGGGACCAGGCTTCGTGTCCCTCCCTCCCAGACTCAGTGACACCTGCGGTTCCAGACCCTGTGGGAGCCCTGTGGGCTGGCAGACGAATCGAGGGGAACGCACAGCTTTCTCTGCCGTGTTTGTCCAGCATGCCTGGGAAAACCACAGCAGTTTTCAGTGTCCTGGGTCTGTTGGGGAAAAAGCGATTACACACGTCAGGGACTGCGGCTGCTGTGGCCTTCCTCTCCTTCATTTTGGAGGAATTCCATCACATTATAAAGTCTTTCTCGAGGCCCGTACAGGCCTGTAACCCCAGCACTGTGGGAGCCCGAGGCAGGACTACAAGTTTAAGTCTGGCCTGGGCAACTCAGTGACTTAGTGGGATCCTGTCTCGGAATAAAACTCAAAAGGGCTGGGAGTGTAGCCCAGTGCAAAGGTCCTGTGCCCAAGCCCCAGGATGGCCAAAAGATTAAAATAGAGTAAGGCGTCCTCGTAGGGACTGGCTTCTCAGGCTGGCCAGCATCTTGGCAGAGCTTTCCTGGGTGCCCAGCGCCCTGGCCGGCGGGTGCTACCCCAAGGACGTGCTTTTCTCGGAATCTCAGCGTCTGTGCCCTCCGCGTCGCCTCCCCGCGTCCCTGGGCTTTGGCAGGCTCTGACACCTCGGGGCGGATGGCCTCCGCCCGGCCTCCGGGTCAGTCGTCCAGGGCGCGCGCAGAGCCTGGCCGCCGCAGCCGCTGTCACTCGCTGCCAGTGTGTCCTCTCTTCCCCCCGGGATCTTCGGTCAGCAGGCGCCAGAAGGCCTGACGTCCCGGGTGTGGGCGGTGCATGTTCCGACAGCTCCGGCTAACGTTTGTCCACCGGCAGAGCCCGCGCTCGCCAGTGGCTTCTGCGCCACAGCTGCCCGCGCCTCTGCTGCTTCCCTGATGCGTTAACTGGCCGGAGGCCGGAGGCGGCCGCGGGACTGGGAGCCCCAGACGCCGCTGGCCTCGCCTCCACATCCTCAGGAGTCACCCAGGGAACGGCGGCCTTCGCGCCCCGGTGCTCGGCCTGGGCCCTCGCGCCCTCTCGTGGTCGGGCGCAGCACTGCACGTAAAGATGGCAACCAAGTTCCAAGTTTAAATTTAGGCAGCAATTCTAGGATTTAAGAATTGCCAAAAAAAAAAAAAACCCAAAAAGAGCTAGAAGAACATTGTGGCCACTAAAATATCTCTCGGTGGCTAACGAGTGGCTGCAGCAGCTTCTCTAGAAATTTTTGGGTCTCCCAGTTTTCCTTGTGAACTTGTGGATAGGATGTTTCCGGGTTGAAGGAACCCTAGGAACAGCGCTTCCAGCGCCTTGCACCTTAACTGGCTCCAGAACTTACTTATCCCCAATAATAACAGCAGCGTGATATAGCAGCAAAATGCTCCGCATAAGCCCATTCTGTTTTATAAGGACGACCAGCCTGAGCAAGTGTGACATGGTTTCATGGATTTGGGCTGAGCGGAAGGGCAGTCTGCACCGTGCGAAATGCCGAGTCTCCTTCAGAGGAGCGGGAAGGGGCGGCCTCACCCAGGCGGTGGCTCGGGAGCGCCTCCCTGCCCTGCAGGTGCTGGCCGTGCTACCTTACACAGTATTTGCCCTTCCTTGGCCTTCATTTTCCAGCTGCCCAGGAGAGCAGTTACACCAGATCAGGCTTTCTGCTTAAAACAGCTCCCCCTCAGCAGGCGGCAGCGCTGCAGCCCAGGAGTCTGCGGGGCCCTTCCGGGTTCACCCGCAGGCACCACAAGGCCACACTCAAGATGCCCGGGGAGTTTGGACCAGCAGAAGATATGCTGCCAGGCTCCTGAGTTTTTCAGTGCATTTTAATTTCGCGTGGTGTTGGGCTTCGTGGTGGGGTCTTCAGGCGGCGGAGGTCGTGTGTAGATCACTACAGCCCCTGCCAGCCCTCGCCTGCCCTGTATTTCCTCTCTCTCCTCTGGTAAGAAGCCTCCCTTCTACAGCACTTTCCTGTCCCCTTTGATTTTGCCTTTCAGATTCCACGTATCAGGGAGAGCATCCAGTATTTGTCTTTCTGAGTCTAGCTTGTTGCATCTAACACGATGATCCCCAGTTCCACCCATTTTCCCGCAAACGACATGATTGCGTTCTTCTCTCTGCATTCTGTGTGTCTAACCCATTTCTCCCCCATTCACCTGGTCCCGCGCCTTCGCTGTCGTGAGTGTGTGGTGACCGACACAGGTGTGCGGGCCTCCAGACTGCAGTTCCCCCGGGAGCCGTGGCCCTCTGGTGGGCCTCACTCTGCTCTCAGACCCCGCCCCTGCCCGCCCGACCTTCAGACTGCCGATCTGCCTCACCCTCTGCTCTTTGCGCTCTCTGCATCTCTGACCTCTACTCCTACCCACTTCCTGCCCCTTCTACTCCTTCTGCACTCAGACGCCACACAGGCAGACCCTGTTCCCTGGGGACTGCCCCTGCGCTGCCCATTCTTCCTGTTGCTGTTCAGTCTTAGATCACTTTTAAACGGAATCTCAACTCACTAAATTAATTTCGTAGCCGATTAACAACTTGTGTCCTGCAGTTTGAAAAACCACGGGACTAGATATGGAGTCTTTTAAACCCTAAAAGTCTATTATTTTTAAAATGAGGGTTATTAATTTGAACTAGAATCATAAAGATATCAACTTAGTGGGCCAGCACTAACGCTCCGCCACTCTCGGTTCAGTGAGATGCGTGTAAGGGCTCCGGAGCAAGTCGGGCACCAGCGTACGGGCCATGGGGAGAGCCGGAAGTGCACGGCCCAGCCCTCGGGAGACAGGAAGTCTGGGCGGCATTGAGCCTGCCTGCTGGGGGTGGCCGGGCTGGGTCCCCTCCGAGTGGGCCTGAGAGAACCCGCAGAACTTGCCCTCCTCGGAGATCTTGCTCTCGAGTCACCCGCTCACCCGCGTTCCCGAGTTGCACGGGTGGCCGCTGGCTTCTAGCACAAGAGGCCTCAGCCCACGCCTCCTCCTGGCCACTCAGTGCCTTCCCAGTCCCTTCCGGCTCTGTTCAGGCGAAGAATTCTGGCCTTGTTTGGGGACCCCTTGTAAGTCAGACTTTCCTACGTAAGAAAATGAGACCATTCACTTAGGAATCCATTGCTTATTCATTCAGTAAATGTAAATTATTCAATAAACAGTTAATAAATTGCTGCACGCCTTGTCCAAAGCACTGCCACACCCTGGTCAGCAAGACCAAGTTTCAGGCTGGTGCACAGATCCTAGTGAGGGGCGTGGGGACCGAGGTCAGCGTTTCACAGTGCCGAGGATTGATGCAGTTTTAAAGGGAAATAGCAGGTCAAGAGGCAAAGTCAGTAGAGAGGTTACCCACATGTTTCCAAGTCTTACAGAGTCCAGAGTCGTTGGGAACCTTCCAGCAGATGAAGTATCTCAGTTCTGAGACATCAATTAGGCTGCTTTCAGTTACAGGACATTGGGGGTATTAATAACAGATTTTGCAGAGCACTGTTTTTGCCTTCCTCAGAAGAGGATTAGCTTATGAAAAGACTAATGGAATTGATATTTGCAGCACGAAGAAACAAATGATTCAGGGGAACCGAGTGACCCTCTAGCCTCCCATGTTATTTTCGGGGAGAAGCATCCAGATGTTCTTTGTTTCCAGCAGGGAAAGAGTGAGGCGCATTAAGCTGGAACACAGGAAAGTGAAATTAAAGAGCAAGGAGGACTGAGTAAGTTTCAAGGTGTTCCAGAGAGTCCTGCTTGTCTGTGAGCGTGGCCGTTGTCTGTTTAGGAAGTTTCAGGTGTCCAGGGACGGGGAAGGGTCACACAAGCAGCACGGAGACCCTGCGTGTTCCGGCGGGCACAGGAAGCTGGCAAAGGGCCTGGGTTCCTGTCATGCTCGTGAGGTCCCGGAGCCACCGTCCTGTGGACGGGTAGGTTCCTCGCCAGGCGTGCTGCTCCTCCAGCCTCTCTGCCTTCTGAACAGCCGCCGTCTGTCAGGATTTCGCCTAAGCTTCCCAAGGCCTGGCTGGGCCTTCTGCAAGTCTGGCCAACTCGAGGAGATTTCAGAGCACCTGTATGTACCCATGCTTGATCTATTCAGCAACTGACAAACCTCTGTGACCGTGATGCGTGCTTATGATGCAAGCAGCACACATCCTAGGGCCACCGAGGAGAGTTCCAGGCTCTCGAGTCCAGAGAGGTGAGTGATTCGCACCCCAGGGAGCACAGAGCCCGGCCTCTGCACACATCTCGGCCCAGTGCTCTTCTCACATGCACAGGCAAACTTGGGCCACACCCGGAAATCTCTCCCGGGTTCCCGGGGGCCAGGCCAGGCCCTGATGGTGAAGTGCAGCCGCGGGGAACATTCCTCATGAGCCTGGACTTCATCACAGGGGCCAGCCTCTTCCTCCCTTCTTACCATGCTGGCTCCCTCCCCTTTCTCTCTCCCTCTTTCTGCCTCCCTTTATCTTCTCTTTCTCTTCTTTCCCTCCTTCCTTCCCTGCTTCCTGGAGTTAAAAGAGCTGTGTGTCTTGAAATGCTGCCTGGTCAATAGTATTCGTTGGGAGGTTCTTTCATAAAATTTGTTCCACTTAATCCCCTTACTGCCAGATATCAAGTTGGGAAATGGTCCCTAAAATATCCTTTTGGGATTTTACTGGTGTGTGAAATTGTAAAATCTCAAATCCAATGATCCTGCCTCTTGCCCTGGCTGCAGGATAGGACACTTCCAGCATTCTGAGCTCCGTGAGGCACCCTAAATGCAAATTTGTATCCTACTTTCTGCAGGCGGCTTACGCATTGAGCTGAAACCTGCAGGATTAGGGGCACCTTGGGAATTCTCAGGA